CACGCTCACTTCGAAGCGAGCGTGCATATAGGTTATTTGCACGCTCGCTTCGAAGTGAGCGTGCAGATAGGTTATTTGCACGCTCACTCGCCGGGGTGCAATAATATCGCACTGCAGTGCATCCACATAGTCATTGGCTGGCGGTGTGCTGGGAATATTGCGAGTCGCTCCGCCAGGGAGTCGCTGCTGACTTGCTGCAGCACACCAAATAATAATTGGTCGAGGACGCTGTCGCGGAAGCGAATGTGGACCCGGCTTGCGTCCGCCAAGCCAACTTCACAAGCTCCGTGAGAGTCGAGACAGCAGACGCCCAAGTATTGGAGAAGACTGTCGACAGCCGATTTGAGAAACTGTCCGACGCCGCCATCGACAGCCTCGTTTCTGAGCAGAAAAACAAAAACACAGAGCAGGCAACTGACAAATGGCTCCGCTTATTCGACGAGTATTGTAAAGACACAGGACGTCGCTGTGACCTGAGTACGGTTACGGCAAGCGACCTAGCTTTAATACATTCTGCGACATGCATACGTCGAATTCCGTCCAGAGAAAGCTGGAGTGAAGTTCTACTCTGCATCAAGCTTGGCTCGGTTTCCGTTCCGCAATACATCGCAAGCTAGTCGAGTTGAAGCGGCCCATGAACGTCCACAGTGACCCAGCGTTCAAGGACGCAAACATTGCATTGAAGGCTTTCCTCATGAAGCCAAAGAAAGCGGGAGAAGTCAAAGCGGTGGAGCACAAACACCCCATCATCAACGACGACGACATGGGCAAGCTGTCCCGCTACTTCCAGGATCTCCCGAGTATACAGCAACTGCTCGAAAGAAGTGTTATCGCACCCCACGTGAGTGTTTCCATGGTTTGAGCCAATCAGCGGCCTTACTGAGCGTGCAATATTACCCAGTTCACCGCCAGCCAATGTGGATGCACTGCAGTGCGATATTGCACCCCGGCGAGTGAGCGTGCAAATAACCTATATTTGCACGCTCACTTCGAAGCGAGCGTGCAAATATAGGTTATTTGCACGCTCGCTTCGAAGTGAGCGTGCAGATATAGGTTATTTGCACGCTCACTCGCCGGGCCGGGGTGCAATAATATCGCACTGAAGAGTGCAGTGCATCCACATAGTCATTGGCTGGCGGTGTGCTGGGAATATTGCGAGTCGCTCCGCCAGGGAGTCGCTGCTGACTTGCTGCAGCACACCAAATAATAATGCCATATTAATGGTCGAGGACGCTGTCGATGTCGCGGAAGCGAATGTGGACCCGGCTTGCGTCCGCCAAGTCAACTTCACAAGCTCCGTGAGAGTCGAGACAGCGGACGCCCAAGTATTGGAGAAGACTGTCGACAGCCGATTTGAGAAACTGTCCGACGCCGCCATCGAACAGCCTCGTTTCTGAGCAGAAAAACAAAAACACAGAGCAGGCAACTGACAAATGGCTCCGCTTATTCGACGAGTATTGTAAAGACACAGGACGTCGCTGTGACCTGAGTACGGTTACGGCAAGCGACCTAGCTTTAATACATTCTGCGACATGCATACGTCGAATTCCGTCCAGAGAAAGCTGGAGTGAAGTTCTACTCTGCATCAAGCTTGGCTCGGTTTCCGTTCCGCAATACATCGCAAGCTAGTCGAGTTGAAGCGGCCCATGAACGTCCACAGTGACCCAGCGTTCAAGGACGCAAACATTGCATTGAAGGCTTTCCTCATGAAGCCAAAGAAAGCGGGAGAAGTCAAAGCGGTGGAGCACAAACACCCCATGATCAACGACGGCGACATGAGCAAGCTGTCCCGCTACTTCCAGGATCTCCCGAGTATACAGCAGCTGCTCGAAAGATGTGTTATCGCACCCCACGTGAGTGTTTCCATGGTTTGAGCCAATCAGCGGCCTTACTGAGCGTGCAATATTCCCCAGTACACCGCCAGCCAATGTGGATGCACTGCAGTGCGATATTGCACCCCGGCGAGTGAGCGTGCAAATAACCTATATTTGCACGCTCACTTCGAAGCGAGCGTGCATATAGGTTATTTGCACGCTCGCTTCGAAGTGAGCGTGCAGATAGGTTATTTGCACGCTCACTCGCCGGGGTGCAATAATATCGCACTGCAGTGCATCCACATAGTCATTGGCTGGCGGTGTGCTGGGAATATTGCGAGTCGCTCCGCCAGGGAGTCGCTGCTGACTTGCTGCAGCACACCAAATAATAATTGGTCGAGGACGCTGTCGCGGAAGCGAATGTGGACCCGGCTTGCGTCCGCCAAGCCAACTTCACAAGCTCCGTGAGAGTCGAGACAGCAGACGCCCAAGTATTGGAGAAGACTGTCGACAGCCGATTTGAGAAACTGTCCGACGCCGCCATCGGCAGCCTCGTTTCTGAGCAGAAAAACAAAAACACAGAGCAGGCAACTGACAAATGGCTCCGCTTATTCGACGAGTATTGTAAAGACACAGGACGTCGCTGTGACCTGAGTACGGTTACGGCAAGCGACCTAGCTTTAATACATTCTGCGACATGCATACGTCGAATTCCGTCCGGAGAAAGCTGGAGTGAAGTTCTACTCTGCATCAAGCTTGCTCGGTTTCCGTTCCGCAATACATCGCAAGCTAGTCGAGTTGAAGCGGCCCATGAACGTCCACAGTGACCCAGCATTCAAGGACGCAAACATTGCATTGAAGGCTTTCCTCATGAAGCCAAAGAAAGCGGGAGAAGTCAAAGCGGTGGAGCACAAACACCCCATCATCAACGACGACGACATGGGCAAGCTGTCCCGCTACTTCCAGGATCTCCCGAGTATACAGCAACTGCTCGAAAGAAGTGTTATCGCACCCCACGTGAGTGTTTCCATGGTTTGAGCCAATCAGCGGCCTTACTGAGCGTGCAATATTCCCCAGTACACCGCCAGCCAATGTGGATGCCTGCAGTGCGATATAGGGCTTGAAAGTGCTACGCCATAGCATAGCAACAATTTCAAAAATTCAAAAATGGATCCACTTGGATCCAGTTTTTGTATGGATCCAAGCACATTTCAAGCGGTCTTACCCACAGCATGGTGATGTAGCCAGTGAAACTGACTGATTTGGCTACTGGGGGCGGGGTTACAACTGGTGGCGAAATAAAAGTCACACCTGCATGCGACATGAGTGGGTTGCTATGCACCCACATACTTAGGCAATAGCAAAGTCACACCTTAGTGGATCCAAAAATATAAATCTGATGTCAACTTACTACTCCCTGGCCGTTTTGACGTCATCACTTTCAAGCCCTATTGCACCCCGGCGAGTGAGCGTGCAAATAACCTATAATTTGCACGCTCACTTCGAAGCGAGCGTGCAAATATAGGTTATTTGCACGCTCGCTTCGAAGTGAGCGTGCAGATATAGGTTATTTGCACGCTCACTCGCCGGGCCGGGGTGCAATAATATCGCACTGCAGAGTGCAGTGCATCCACATAGTCATTGGCTGGCATGGATCATGGCGGTGTGCTGGGAATATTGCGAGTCGCTCCGCCAGGGAGTCGCTGCTGACTTGCTGCAGCACACCAAATAATAATGCCATATTAATGGTCGAGGACGCTGTCGATGTCGCGGAAGCGAATGTGGACCCGGCTTGCGTCCGCCAAGTCAACTTCACAAGCTCCGTGAGAGTCGAGACAGCGGACGCCCAAGTATTGGAGAAGACTGTCGACAGCCGATTTGAGAAACTGTCCGACGCCACCATCGAACAGCCTCGTTTCTGAGCAGAAAAACAAAAACACAGAGCAGGCAACTGACAAATGGCTCCGCTTATTCGACGAGTATTGTAAAGACACAGGACGTCGCTGTGACCTGAGTACGGTTACGGCAAGCGACCTAGCTTACATTCTGCGACATGCATACGTCGAATTGCGTCCGAAGAAAGCTGGAGTGAAGTTCTACTCTGCATCAAGCTTGCTCGGTTTCCGTTCCGCAATACATCGCAAGCTAGTCGAGTTGAAGCGGCCCATGAACGTCCACAGTGACCCAGCGTTCAAGGACGCAAACATTGCATTGAAGGCCTTCCTCATGAAGCCAAAGAAAGCGGGAGAAGTCAAAGCGGTGGAGCACAAACACCCCATCAACGACGACGACATGAGCAAGCTGTCCCGCTACTTCCAGGATCTCCCGTGATAATTATAGACAGCAGCTGCTCGAAAGAAGTGTTCCTCTAAAATTGAACGCGACTGGTTGTGCTGTGTTGTATGACTGTGAAATGATAGCAGGGTTGCATGCAGCATGCTAGGGTTGCACCAGACTGTGTCAAGTGTGTGGTGACAGACTGTGTGGTGGCAGGGGTGCGATAAATGTATTACTGCACTCGGACGCGTGCAATACCGGCGTCGATATCTGCACTTACGGCTTCGCCGTTAGTGCAGATATCGACCGGTATTGCACTGGTCCTTGTGCAGTAATACATGTACATACATAGTGCACGCATGGTGCCACTCCAGTATAGTACATGAACCCGCGATGAAATACATGTAGATCAACCGCGTAGATCTACCTACCATACCTATGTACGCGTACCCCTGGCATTGGCCGGATTTTTTTGGCGACGACTGTGTACATGTATCACTACTGTGCATGCTGAGAAAAAATCTGAGTGTTCCGTTTTTTACTAATGACTTGGTGCCCATTGGCATTGGCACTACTCTCGACCTCCTCATCAGCCCACCACAGGCACAGTTGCTGGAAGTTGAACCCTTTCTACAAATTGATTCCACGGCTCTCTCCCAATGGCAGAGATCGACGGAATTGAAGCCAGGCGGCGATTGGATAGACATTATATCGCCCTTCTAGAGGACATGAATCCTTTCGAGGTGATGGACCAATTGATGACTCCAGACCTGAAAGACGAAGTCGTACAAGACGTCTGTGCAGCGACGAGAGAACTCGGTCAGATCGAGGGGTCCAGGAGGCTTCTCGAATACTTGCGCGTGCTCGTCAGACACCAACCGAAAGCGCTGGTCGAAATCATCGCAGCGCTCCGAAGGGCAAGCGCGGTGCACTTGGCAGACCTGCTGGCGCAGCCTCTCTCCCCGATCCGCCCAGGTAATGTTAGTATTGTTACCACTTACACTGGTGAGGACTGGGGGTATGAGCAAGAGGAGAAAGTGAGTCACTGTTGCTACTACATGTACCCGGCCCTCCCGGCAAGTTGAAGTAGGAGAACAGCTATCAACGAAGGCGTTACCGCCTGTTTGTGCTGTTACTATAAATAATGAAAATTATAAAATTCAACAGCAACAGCAACAACAACTTTTTTAGATGCTCAACCCAAATACTAGAAGACCAGCATGCAAGAGGCTGATTTATGATGTTGCATTTGATTGCATGGTTTGTGGGGAAACAGGCTAGCATGAAGAGTCATGACTGAGCCAGACTGGAAATCGCTGGGAAATCCGGAATCATGGGGCTGACCCGAATAGGCGGTACAAATTATTTGGGCAGAGGCGTGAAGATGGAATTTTACTTTTCGGGTGGTAATACTCGAATGAGGAACATGATGACAGGAGGGAGCTCCCCTCCTGTCATTCGTTCGAGTGTTCAAATACATAAATAAAAAGACGTGTGCGGTAACTACGTGACTGCTGTGAGTGCGCTTAGCCGGATTGTGTTGTATTATTTTTATTTCATTCGGTGCACCGGCAATACTGCCTTCTCACTGGAGAGATGATTTTCTGATACGTACCAAATTGATAAAACAATTCTCGTATATGATTGTATGAGAATAACATTATTATGAGTGGTTTTGATACTCTACATGGTGACGTGTATCGTGACACAAACTTTTAAAACATTACACTGAAACAGTGAAGTGTCAAGTTCGGCAGGGCTAGGAGGCGTAAGCTCCACATGTAACAGTTATTTTAAGAGCATGGACTACATGTGATTTCAAGGTTTGTTGGCATCATGGCGTGCATCACCTACTAGTATCTTCCACAGAATCCAGCTTCCAACTCTCTTGGTTCAAATTGACAATAGCATACATCTTACCACCTATGGTAAAATGTACTTCCAGGTTCAGGGCTGCAATGAAGGGTGGTGAATAATTTCCTCGTAGAACAGTTTCCATTGCAAGGTTGGTTTCACAAAGAGTGCTGCTTGGTGCTAAGTACAGCCGTGACCGTAAAGAAATCCACCCGCGGGTCAAAAGCAGCACGTCGTTTCGATATCAATTACACCGTGCATGCTCCAAACACACATCCGAGAGCCGCATGAGCCTTGGCGCTGCTTTCGGCTCACGGGTCGAAATTCTTTGGCCACAACTCTACTCTTCAGTGAAATCTAACACGGCTGGATTGCAGTAAAATGGTTAGTTAGTTGTAGTGGAAAGAAGACCAGCTTGTGTTGTTGTGTTCTATTTAAAATCAGAGCTGGAGCTAGGAAAGGAAGCTGCACTCGAGGAGATGAATAGAGGCAATGGCAACGCCGACATGCAAGCGGCACGACAGGGAAGTTCTCTCAAGCGTCCATCCGATGACTGGAGCACGGGTAAGAAGTGTGAGGACATTGCACGAGTATTGTGTCCTTTGAGGCTGTGAGGCACACTGGGAACTGGTCATCTTGGATGTTGACACGTGCATAATACTATTTCAATTTTTGCATTGCCCATTGTGTGGGAATACATTACTTGGTCTCAATGTGTGGAAATGCAGTGCCTGGTCTCAATATGTGTAAATGTAGTGCCTGACCCTAGTCCGCTGCCGAGGCAAGGGTAGGTCCACTGCATGCTCACTTTGGGTATTCTGTCAGTGGTTGACTCCATTCAAACGTACCTTGTTGAATGTGGATTTCTACCTTCTTTTTTTCCTACTCTGTACCAGCATCATCTCCGAAGAGAGCGATCAGGGAAGAGTCCCTAACAGATGGTGAGCTATGTTCTTGTTCCTTGCAATACCATACCCGAACTCTCCTTTGGGCAGTTAAGGACTGCAGTATTCAGCGCGTGTGCAAAATCCTCAAATGCTCAGCTCATGAAGCAACATAATGAGTATTACCATATCAATATGAATGAGGGAGGTGCTTAGCTTAGGCTGTCATCACACTACGGTACAAAGTGCTGCGTCTATTTCCACGTAAGGAAGTTTTAGTCGGTTGCCATAATGATCCGTGTGTCTGTACTGGATGAAAGCGGGAGCAGATTAAACGGGAAACGTAGATGTGGCCAGGGGTGGGGTATACAGCTTTTCTGAAGAACGTGCGTATCTCCCCCAGTCTCTTTCTAAGCGACCTTGGACCTGCCTTGGAATTTCTCCGAAACGTGACCGCGTGTACGGGTCAAGAACTGTGCCTGTGCGATGACACGACCACCCGTTTTGTAATTTTCACCGTGGATGTGTACATCCCTTTGAAGAATGCCAGCGACCTAGAAGGAGCCCAAGCATTTGCTGCAGACAAGTCGAAATGGAGATCCGACATCGTTTATGGATGAGTTTTTGTTGACTGGAGACAGAAGCGGACTTGGCTTAATTTCAGTGTATTCTCATACATTGTTCTTTGGCCTTTGTACGCGTGCTGTGGCATTATTATTATTATTATTATTATTTGAAACTCGGATGTTGAGCCATAAATAAATGTAGAAAGGAAAAGGACATAAGGATACGAGTTAAGAATAACTCTCCATCACTGTAACTGGATACTATATACAGTCAGAAAGTGCAATAACTAGGCACACAACTGACAAGAGTACTGAGACATTCGACGTCCTGACACCTAGCTTCAACACATTTCCGTAGCGCTAACCGACAGCCTTCCAACTTGGAAGGTTCAAGGTTATGGAAAGACCAAAGAGGGGAAGGCAAGCGCAACGAAAACGAGCAAAAGCTATAGTCCCAGCGGAACAAAGAATGTCGATTGTTACTGGACGATGACGAGACCAGTACGATATTTGACAAAGCGGTCTAACTACAATTCGAAGCAGCAAAGCAGCACACCACCCAACTTGGGTGAGTCATAAAATTTATATCAAAGATAAGTAAAGAAAGGGGAAGCTTTGCGAAAACGAATTGTACAAGCCGAAAGCCAAACTCCTACAGTACTCCTCATGCATGACATTGTGATGGACTAGTTGACTACAAAACAAGTTGTTTCACACGACGTACGTTTCGCCGTATGGTTCGTGACGGCTCATCAGGTGTGCAATTTGAAACTCGGGTGTTGAGCCATAAATAAATGTAGAAAGGAAAAGGACATAAGGTTACGAGTTAAGAGTAACTCTCCATCACTGTAACTGGATACTATATGCAGTCAGAAAGTGCAATAACTAGGCACACAACTGACAAGAGTACTGAGACATTCGACGTCCTGACACCTAGCTTCGACACATCTCCGTAGCGCTGACCGACAGCCTTTCAACTTGGAAGGTTCAAGGTTATGGAAAGACCAAAGAAGGGAAAGCAAGCGCAACGAAAACGCGCAAAAGCTACAGTCCCAACGTCGCACGTCGTAAAAGTATATCTTTCTTCAACGACGGGTACCTTGCAATTGTACGCGACAGCTCGCGATAGGCATTTCCTTGTCTCAACTGTCGCAAATCGCGTGTCGCGTCGCAAAACGTTGTATTGTGAATTGGCCTTAACCCTTTAGCGTGCATGGTTCGAAATCAAACCATGGAAACTTGGGCGCGCACGCATGAACTCTATTGATCGTCACTCAGTCAAATCTTTAATTAGCCCCCGTCCCTCACACAAACGAGTCAACAAAGCGGCATCTTTGGATTGAGGGGTGCTGGTTTCGAAACAACTGGTTTGAAGCTCAAAGTAGAGCTGCTGTTAGCTCAAAGTAGAGCTGCGGTTAGCTCAAGGTAGAGCTGCGGTTAGCTCAAGGTAGAGCTGCTGTTAGCTCAAAGTAGAGCTGCTGTTAGCTCAAAGTAGAGCTGCGGTTAGCTCAAAGTAGAGCTGCGGTTAGCTCAAAGTGGAGCTGCTGTTAGCTCAAAGTAGAGCTGCTGTAAGCTCAACGTACAGCTGCAATGCTAAATGGATGTAATATAGCTCAAGGCAGAGCTGCAGCAAATAGCTAGATAACACCAGTTGTGAGGGTGGACCCGATCAGTGGGTACGATAATCATAATGATTGTATGAATAAGTTGGATAGGGGGGGGGGGGGGAAAGCAACACTGCGGAAGCACGATCTGCTGTCTGGAGGAACACAACAGGACAAGCAAGATTTGTTTTCTTTTCAGCAAAACGGGCTGAGTGCCATTTGTGATTACGCAGCAAAGCAAAGCGCATGACGTCTGTCTTGAAGGCAGCAAAGAGTAATGCAGTGCAGTGTGTGCGCTAGTTCGGATTGTTGCTAACGAGTACTAGCACAGCTAGTACCCCATTAAATAGGAAGGTAAATCCGGAGTCTCGCATTGACTACTGTCGGTGATTGTGTCAATGTGTGGTGATGCAGCTGTCATACTTTCGACATTATATTGCAGAGTATAACCGTGCTTTAAACACCAGTATTTCACCCCAAAGGTGTAGGTGCAGCTTATACTACTTCGAAGGACGATGGTCAAATTTACGGTGGTAAATGGGGTAGAAGTCTGCACTTCATGCGGCATATACTCCAGCGCGGATCACACTCCGGAAAATACGGTAGTTCCGGAATCATTCCGTGTTGCTGACGTAAAGGTTGTGGAGTGTTTCGGACTGGGTAGTGCAAGATCATGTGAAGTCACGTGCAAATGGTCTTCTTTGATCTGTTCATCTATCAGGTATGGGTCCTGTACCCAGGAAGCGACCTGCTAGTCCTCCTTCATCTGGTCTGCCAGATTCTAAGAAGCCAATCATCTCACCGCCTCCTTTCTCTGGGCAAAGAAAGAGGAAAAAGCCAGCCACTAGATCTGAATCCAGCACCGCGAGAATCACCCAACAGGTATGGCTTGGAGGTTCACGCTAGATGTAGGCGATCCTCAGAAGTGCTGTCATTGCTCGCACTTGAGTTGGTATTACCGTATTTCCCCGATTATAGGTCGCACTCGATTATAAGCCGCACCCCCATTTCCAGGTTTGAGCAATATTGTTTTGATACATTGACTTCAGTAGTAAGTCATGCTCAATTGTAAGTCGCACCCCCTTTTTCACCCTTGATTTTTAGTGTAAAAAGGTGCGACCTATGATCGGGGAAATACGGTATTCCACAGCACTGCATATTGGATACGCCTTGCTGATTTATTCTTCAACTGCCAATACAATCCCTTAATGCGATGGCAAAGATTATTTGACCGAGGCCGATGGTGTGTGACCAAGAGTTTATGAAATCCATAGTATGCAGCTTGCAACTTTTTGTCCATGGATGTCTGTCACGGCAAAATTCCGGGGTCACATCATAGTTAGTGAAGATACACAGCAGGAAGTTGTGTAGTGTGGAATGTACACATGAGCTTCAGTTGTGCAACACATGCTTGAATTCTACTCGTACGTACACTAGCACAGTGTTACCAAGTGCCCTCTACCCCCATCCGCATTGCCCAGTGCCATTTTGCGGAATTTTTCAGCGTTTTCCGTACTCGTTTTTTCAGGTCAACATTCTCACTGATTATTAGTGTAATTTGGAAAAAAACAATACACACACACTTGTACATGCATGTCCATTGTCACACTGCACTTGCTGAATTTCCTATCATTTCTCACCTGTATAGTTTTTATTACCTGTTCAAATGTTTCCTAAGTTTGTGCTATTTTTCTTACTATTCTTGTATCCTCGTAGTTTCACTCCAAGTGTATAAATCCTATTATAGTTTCATCATTCTCTTTAGTCACGAATTCCATTGATAATTGTGACAAGAAAACGTTCTGGAATGCATTATTCGTCCCCATGGTTGTGATATGAGTGCGCATTTAGTTATATTTATTGCATTATTGAAACCAATACTGTCCAACTTTTCCAGCCACAGAGTTCAGAAGCGTACGAATTGAAATTTCTTGAAAGTAATTGAACTATTCTAAATATTGAATATTCTGTTGATTAAATTATTCCCTGCTCATAATGTACTGGTTCAATCGATTCACTCATTACTTGAAGACCCAGCACTCCTGTGCATTTCTTAGCTTGGTTCCGAAGTGACTGCGGAAACTTCGTCTCTTCACAGCGTGCTGCATTCTTGTTGAAGTGGCATGAGATCAGTGCTGACAGTGTTTCTGTGCAGTGCCGAGACCTGAAATCCGTCTGGATTCGTCGCACCAAACTGAACACGCGCTCACTGTCCGCATTTGACACCGGAATCGCCAGGAGCTGCAAAGCGAGATCAGCAAGGTTCTTGTACTTCATCGTGTATACGACACATACAAGTACAGGTTGACAGACACCCTCGATAGTGATAGGTAGTGACATCTCACCCAGACATTCAATAGATTGACCAGTATAACCTTGCATTCGTATAGTAGATTTTTCCAGCCTTTCGCAATTTCCGTTTGCGTGCACAAAATCATTTTCACTCAAGATCGTTACGGGACTCCCTGTGTCTACTTCCATATTCACAGATGCCCCATTTACATCTACGTCAATTTTGAAAGGACCCACTTTCGAGTATGCATTTCCATTCACGTAGTAAAGAGACAGAGGCACAGACACAGGTTCGACCTCACCGGTTTCCTGGTCGTCATATTCGGTCTGGACGAACTTCACGGCTCGGGCTTTTTCTTCTTGCAAGCTCTCTCCATACGGCCAACGATCTTGCAGTACCTGCACTCAGTTTGTTTGAAGTAACAGTCGGCGGCTTTGTGACCAGGTTTGTCACAACGGAAACATTTCTCGGCGTTGGTGCTGGCTGCTGTCCATGACCTCGTTCTCTCACTTCTCTGAGCGCTGTCTCCGGGGCGTCTCGACTTCACTGCATGCACTGTCGTTGCAGGTTAAAATCTTGCAGCATCCTTGTACGCTGTCTCGTACAACGTAGTGCTCTCTCCCCTGTGGTGGCGTACGTGTCCGAATCCTCAGCCTTGCTGAGAATCTCCTTGGTCATGGCGTGTGAAACCAAACCCTTTACAAAATTGTCGCGCAAGGCGCGGTCCAGATGATCTCCGAACTTGCAGTCAACAGCGAGCCCGTTCAGTCTAGCTGAAAATTGAACAATTCTCTCTCCCTCTTTCTGCTCTGCTTGATTGAATTGATGCGTCGCAGCAACCGCACTCACAGGAGGTCGATAGAAAGTGGTCAGGATTTTGATAATGTCGTTGTACTTCTTGCTTCCAGGTTTGTTTGGAAGACACAAATTCTTTAAATTGGTATACGCGCTGGCTGACAGCTGGGAGATGAGTACTGCAGCCTTTCTCTTATCCGCAGCATCCTTCTGTGCAGCATTTGCAGAGCTGGCCAACTGCCCAATGTCATTTGCGATAAAAAAGAACTCTAGACGTTCCGCATACTCTCTCGAAATCTCCAGTATCAAATACTTCTAACTTTGCCTGTTTGGCCATCCTTTTACTTCGTCGCCAAATTGTTATGTACCAACCATTGGTCAACCATCATCAAGTCATTATTGTTATTGGAAAAGCCTTGGAAGAAGACCAGACTAAAATAGGAACAAGAAGCTCTTGTGCGCATGCGCAATACATATATAGTGAAGTAGTGCAGAGTAGTAACATTAGTACTACAGAGAGAGACACCACAACTTCTCCCATCGGGGATTTAAGTGCACGGACTCCCAACCAGAAACTAACTGCTTCCTCTGCATCCAAAGACTTCACATTCTCATCAAGCCGAAATTCCCTGAACTCAAGTCGCACCTTCCCAATGTCGAAGGGCACTGCGATCTTGGCCTTCAGCGAATCAAAGTCAGATGGATCAATCATCTTCAGGAGAAGCAGGGGTGAGGATTTCAAGTCGAACGCCTTCAGCATTTTCTTGATAAAAGCCATATAGAAGAGGACCACGTGATCATAGAACTTAGAATAAACATCTTCCACTTCATTGTCCTCCAAGTGAAGCAGAACAGCAGTAGCATCATCTCCGATGAATACTTCATCATCATCCAGCTGTTTGCTTTCAGCTGAAAACTCCACCTTTGTCAAGTCGGCAGAATTTGCTGCTATTTCAGCAGGCTTCACGAAGAAGCTCAGAACTCTTTTCAGGAGTCGGCAAAGCTCATCATGAAGACGATGAATAGAAGCTGTTGTTGAGGACTGAAACTTCATGTTCACTGCGTCCAACAGCTCCATAATAGATCTCAGGAAGCTGAGGATGAGGCGGGTCATCGGCGATTCTAGCTGTTTGGCAATGGTCTTTACTTTGCAGGGCTTCTGTACATCAGGGTGGCTTGTGAAGTAGGACACGAGCACATCCCACATCTCCAGAGTTCTCTTCACGGACCGGCCCATTGACAGCCAGCGGGTCTCACTATGAGACAGGACGCGCTTAAACTCCACACTGCAAAAGTGGGCATATTCTTTCAAGGAAACAATCGCTTCACACTGTATTGGAAGTGATAGTAAATGTTTACCAACAGCTCATCCACCTTGAATGGAAGGGTTTTCACAGCAGCCTTCACACATAAGTTAAGAACGTGACAGCTGAAATGAATGTCGATGACCTTCGCCTGCTCTCCACGCAGCTTGGCAATTACGCCATTTCTGGCGCCCTTCATTACATTGCATGTGTCCGAGGCAAACGATACCATGCGATCAAAGCTCAAGCCATGGGTTACCAAGCAATTCTTCAAAGCTGTGAAGATGCCAATAGCAGTGAAGTCTGTCACACCGACCGTTTCAAGATGACGGGTCACGACTTTTCCTTCCTCACGGTCAAACCAACGGAGCAAACAGTCAGCTCCAAGGTACGGCGACGCTTGTTTAATGTTTTACTTTTGTCCAACATGGCCATTTCCATCATGCCGTTGCTTTTGGAAATTTTCCTATTTGTGGGTCTATCTAGTATTGTACAGACGTGTATCGACACTCCTAGATCCTGGTGCTAGTATAGCACGGAAAGCGTTTTGGGAAGGGAAAGTTCTCAAATCGAATTTAAGCTGGTCATTGATTTGAATTATTTGCCCTCTCTAGACTCAGTTATATTTGTGCAAGGGGGTAATAACAAGTATGTTGCAGAAAATTTTAAGAGAGTAAGACCAATCCCAACTGTCTTGGTTAGTATGGACGCGTAGCTAGGGTGAGAACTAGGGGTGTCTCGACTGCCTTTGCAGTACATGTACAGTGGTGCTTGATGAAATACGATTGCGTCAGTCAAGTTAGCGCCCCGCACCAGTTTGCATCCCAGTGCTCTCAGATCTAAAGTTGTGTTCACAAAATGGCGCGTGTACGCATGAAACCACGCGTTTGTGCGTATTTTGCTGGCTTTTGGGGCGCCATGTGTACGGAAACGCGCCGAAAAGGAAATTCCAAGAATTGTCACCGCGTATCTGGCGCGTATCAGCGTACATGCCGGTCAAAAAATTAGTGCTCGAAGGCGTCGCACGTCCTAAACTCGAGTCAAATTGCTGCTTTTTGTGGAAGCCTGAGCGCGCATTTGGGCACGCATGAACCGCAAGCGTACCGCGTTCACGCGCCAGTTGGGAACACAGCTTAAGGCTGCACAGCGCCTGCAGCGTAATTAATTCACGTGATCGGATTTCATTGAGCAGCTCTGTGCACCTGACTCTTATCGTTGGGTGGCAAGGTCAGCTAATGGGTGCTGCTTTACCCCCTGTTTTGTTTGTGCAGCCCGCCATGAGTATGTCGAAGGTGAGAGTACTGCGGAGTGAGGACTCAACTGGTCAGGTCAGCCCCTCCGGCCGCACGAGCATCAGTTATGAGCCAAGACCTTCCCCGGAGGCTGTCAGTGCACAGCCAGCAGCAGCAACGTCCTCCCCTCGCTCATCGCTGGATGATAGTGCAAAGATTAAGCAGTCGTCGCCAACTGGCAATGGTAATAATTATGTGTGTACATCCTTTATTGTTCTCGAATAGTGCTCGATTCGTCAGGATTGCAAGCTGTTGAATCATGCAGTGCCTGCACTACTTGTATACGACTGTATTTTGTGGTAGTTTGTCCCCGCCATGACAAACAAGAGTAAAAGAAAGGTGCTTTGCAGCATAATATTATATTCATGAACGTGATGGGTAATGGCTAAGACCAACGTGTATGTGATCTTCAACGTGTACGGTACTGTCGGCCGCCGAAGAGCGAACAGCCTAGAATTTCACCAAGCACAGCATACTAATGTATACACGGTAACTCAACTGTGCATAGACTTTAGCACACGAAAATATGAACGGGCTAGGCTATGAGGCTGGCCTACCAGTTCTTCGGCGCCCGACAGTGCTGTAGTGTAGAGGAGACAGCGCCTTATTGGAACATTGCCGGAATGTAGAAACGCTCTCGAGCTCGAGTTCACTGTCTGTGTTGTATTTGGACTAGAATGCTTTTTAGCTGTGAGATTACTATTATGATTTACTCCGAGTCAAATGGTAATTGCCTGCCACTGATCAGAAGAACCAGGTCTGGCAGGTGGATTTTACAGGTTTCACCCTGCAATTTGGATGACATTTTTTTTACGAAATTAATCTTGTTACAGTCAATTTCGAGCGGACACTTTATCTTGACGCCATCAACCATCCAAATGCTGGAATACCAGTACAAACAGAGGATGCAAAGGAATGCTGATCTTAGTGAGAAGGTGGCGACCGCTCTATTTCCACCTCTCAGTTTCACTGACTTGTGCCTTGGAGTGAATGTGACATGTCAGCTTCCATCCACGAAGCGCAGTGAACGATCCACGATGACAAGTCTCTGGGTCCACTTTTGTTTTGCAATCACACTGCCTCTTTATCTGCTTGTGTTGATGATGGTGTTGTCGGGTGTTATGGCTTCTGCTGCTGTTGTTGTCGTCGTTGTGTTGCTTGTGTGTGTGTGTGTGTGTGTGTGTGTGTGTGTGTGTGTGTGTGTGTGTGTGTGTGTGTGTGTGTGTGTGTGTGTGTTTCCCCTGTCTCCTGGCATGCAGCGTCGGTGTCGGTTTTCCCGCCACTTCCGATGACAGATGCCGACAACACATCATTGTATCTGCGCCAGTTTCTCATTGTTTCGCTCAACCAGGCAAAGTATGTATCTAACACTTGTCCACTGATGTGGACACTTTGATTATTATCGAGATCATTTCGGTGCTTCTGCGATCATTGCGTTGATGATGGCAGAACTACGGCAATAAAAAGATTATTACGCGTCAGGTAGTAGCAGTTCTTGCTATGTTTTGTTGATGCGTACTTCGACCCCGTATAAGCCCGTGCCCACGTACACGAGTGAGCCCCGTCGAATATCACTGTTGAATGAAGTATGCGTACGGGTTGGTCTGTGGCATTTTACGATATTGGTATTGGGATTGTGCTCCTGATGCGCTTGTGTCCGCACTAGTGCTGCTGCCGCTGCTAATGTACTCCTGTTTTGCTGTGGCTCCTGGTGGTAATTTGTGCTGCTGTTGCTCATGGTGGTGATCGTTGTGTTGCTTCCGCTCCCGGTGTGGTTTTTGAATTCTTTATTCTAACGATGCCACCATCGCCAATAAGAGATGGTGCTAGTGCTATTGCTGCCAGCATAAAGCACTGTCATTCTAGCATTGGCCGACTAATTGTTGGTTTTACTTTGAGAATGACAGTCGTCATGTCATGGCTATAGAATTCTTCAGTTCTTTCGGGTGAGCAGCTTGACAACCTACCCATGAGAGACTTGCTCAATTAGAACTGTGACAACTGTTACAGTCGTTGTGACTGGGTTGGATGCTGAGACTTCCATCTCTCATGGCTTGCCGTCTGATTCTGGTTGGTGTGTGTGTGGGTTTTTTTACCTTTGTTTACAGGGATCGTTGGTTTCTGTTGCAAACAGAACAATCCATCCTTGGGCACCTGACATCGAAGCAACACATGGCACCGCTCAAGATCTCCACGGCCACGTCATACCATCGCATGCTGGTGCACCGCGTTGCTGCCTTCTTCCGCATGGATTACCTCACCAACCATTTAGAGTCGGGCGTCATCCTCCAAAAGACCGCCAAAACAAGGCTGCCAGGCGAACGCTTCAAGGAGCTTATTCAGATGAAGAGTGGCAGTGGTGAGGGTGACGACAGCACGGCCAGTGCGGCGCCAACTGTCGGCATTTCGCCTCGTGTTATTCTCAAGCGGCAGGACGCGCCCAATGCATCCATTGGTGCCGGCAGCGGCTCTTCCTCGCCTACTGCTAACCAGTCGAACCAGAACGGTGATAAGCGCAGGCTGAAAACAATCAAAGAGCGCGAGGCCGAGTACGAGGAGCATCGCAAGCGTATCTTCAGCCAGCACCCTGCGATATCCACTGCCGGGGAGTCGTCAACTGGCAGCACGGCCGTGACCACTTCATCAGGGTGTCGCGCTACGTCGTCCGCTAATTTCGCAGCACGCGCTCCGAACACAGTGGTGCCCGCCTCGGCGTCAACATCGGCGCCTCGCAACAATTCCGATCAAGTTGTGGATGCTCTGGTTGACATGGATTATGACCGCTCTCTGCCGCTTACCTCCTCCGACACGTCGCTGGCTGGTGTCCTCGGCGTCGTTGCTAGTGGATCGGCCAACTGCGGAAAACCACCTGGAATGCGTTCGCAAGGGCTCGGTGAAGCTCTGCCCGTAGCTTCATCAGTCGCCATCTCTGGTCTCCCTGGGGTAAGCTTTCCTCTATGTTGTAAAGTCTCACTCCATCCAGATGTATACTTGTGCTGCATCGATCTCTATAAGCACTAAGTTTTCAAGCAGCCAACTAGGACCTCGGCCGTAGTTGGATTCTTTGCTTTTGCAATGCGGTAGCTCCTAGACGTTATTGTTGAACCTCAAAGACTGTCTTCATTCCATTCATCTTTTGTTGAGGTGTTTTACTCAGCGCCGAAATTCCATGGCTCTGCGATGACCAGAAGCGCCATACCAAGCATTTGAGTTTTCGACGTGTTGCTTCCCACTGCGACTTGAGTTTTACGTTTTTTGAAAAATCAACTTCTTGTCGCAGGTAAACAGCGGCTCACCTCTCGCCAATAAAGAACCGTATACCAATGAAAACTAATGGAAGCACACACAAGGCTTATTGGTGCTCTGCTGTGGCCGTCATGGAGCCATAGCAATTACCTAATTTCAGACCCAGAGTGAATTTGACGGGCACTCTAAAACCTGTCCGGTTTGAAGCCACCTCTGTAAACACCAAAAATTGAGGGCAACTTGGAGGCAACGGGCCAACACAAAGGAGGGGCTCAGATCGATCGACTCTGGCCTCAGAGCAAACTTCAACATGCCAGCTTCCTTTCACAAACATGTTTCGAGTGAACAATCCATACTGATGATCGGATTGGGTCTACACAATTTTGCTGTCAACCCGTTCCGGTATCGAACCGTCGCCTCTACTGCGCATGAACATGCACATGACATGCACATGACATGTACAGCGCATGATACAGCGCATGATACAGCGCATGATACAGCGCATGGCATGTATACATGTACAGCGCACTGCATGCAGGCTGCATGCACTCTGCGGTCCGATTTTGGGTAGATCGATCGATGGCACGTGGATGGGCGTCTTCTGCACCATTTTTCCATCTTTTCAAAGACACCGTATTTTTTCGCTTTTCCGGGATAATTCGATTGAAATCCGTACTGCGGACAAAACATCGTTTTTCCGTAAAAATACGGACAAATACGGGCAGTTGGTAACACTGCTAGCATGATGTCAAGACCCGGCGGAACTGGTCCGGTTGGTCAGGAGGTCATGTGTACCCGCGATAATTATACAAAAAGTACGAAAGACCATGCCAATCAAAAATTCTTCTGGAGGGCCTGGATGTACTGAAAAACCGTAAAGTCGAACGAGTCACAAAGTCGAATGTTTTAAAGGGGAAGTCCGGTTTTTAATATCACAGTCCGTAGAGTTCGGAGCGCTGAGTCGAATGGTCTTTATCCGAGGAGGCCGCGGCCTATGGCTTGTCAGATACGCCCAATCGAACATGTGCGAATTTGAGCGCGCATCACCCAGATCCAGGTGATGATGTCACAGCGTGCAGCTAGGTAGCCACACCATCTATTTGTGTACAAAATGGCCATATTCGGAGCGTGTTCAATTGGGGAACCGTTTGTCGCAGCTTCTTCGGACCAAGACCATTCGATTCAGTGTTACAAACACTACGTACCCTGTGATTTTCAGTTCAGCAAACCTCGAGGTTTCCCCCTATTTTAGCCGTTTCCGAGTTGGACTTTTTCCGTCCGCACTGGCCTCTAGCTCTGCACTGCGTGCAGACTACAGTAGCTGTACTACTACAGCCTGCAGACTGCAGTGTACCAGTAGTCAACAAATTCATCACACACGGAACTACTCCTGCATGCACTGCCGTGCTGGGGTAGCTACAACAAGACTCGAGTAAAGAACTCAAAACTAAACTTACTTAGGCGAAGAACTAGTCAAGACACGGGACTTGTCATGTACTCCACTCGTAGCAGTTGTGTGTAAAGTCATGTACATGTAATCAGGGAACGTGCGTTTCTCCTTGCCGATGCCGGTGGTTGTGCTTTGAGAAAGAAAATTTCAGTTTTTCAAATTCCGCATGGAACAGTCCCGCCTTATTATTTTACCTGTGCTACAACGATGAGTGCACAACCGTGACAAGTCACACAAAAATGGACAAAACAGCGAATAGCTCCCGGACCTAAAACTTTCAGATCCCGTGGTGCTGCGAGCCTTGAATCGAAGAGTCGTGCCCGTGCCTGCACTGTTCTCTACAGTAGTCTGAAATATGCACCAAAACATCAACATGTGACAGGCTACTGGAGTCCAAGCGAATCGGTATGGAACAACATTTAGAGCACTCGCATCACTCTTCTCCATTTTGGCGACTCCGCTCTCCAGCGATCTGATAATTGTATCAGCCTCGTCTGCAATAGCTGCTGCTTCTTCACCAGTCGGAAACGCAGCAGCGCTCACTCTTGACCCGCCCGCTCGACCATTTCTTCAGCTGAATACCGAGGTTCTCAGCCCAAACCGAACTCATGAAGGTCAGCCATGGCTGCATCTTCACTCTCACATGGAGTTCCGTCTTCGGGGTCACTTGCACCACCTAATATCAGTCGCCAAATCATTTGAAATAGCATTGGCACTATTGCTTTCACGCACTCCCTTTGACCTAGCTGCACGCTATGACATTGCGGAGGGTTTGGCGCGGCCGCATGACATCATGGCGCAGCCCCCGAAACTCAGTTTTTCAAATGGAAATATCTCGAGAACGCTTTGTCGGAGACACGTGGGACCAACACCATTCGACTCAGCGCCCGAAACTCTACGGACTGTGAAATTTAAATTTTTCACCGGACTTCCCTTTTAACCACCAATTTTTTTCGTTATTTGAAGAAACGTTATCTCGAACCCGGTTTGATGTCTGTGTAAAGATGCGCATGCGTCGATACATGTTCTGGGTGGCCAGGTAGCCATCATTATCCTTTCTGCACGCTATCATGCCAAAATTACAAAAACGTTTTAAAAGACAGCATGTCTGAGAATACCAAAGTATGTGGGCAAGTGGATCTCTCCAATTTCGCTCAAAATTTGCAGGTATGTTCCCTTTGGGGTGTAGATCGATTGTGCAAAGCCCTTGAAAAATTTTCTGAAGGGAACCTTGAAACTTGCATACCCCTCAAAAATGGCCGAAATAGCACACTATTTATGGGTCTACAAACGAGTCACGCCACAGCGTATACGAATAAGCTACGAACAAAACTTCATCAAGCCAACATTGCCTCACCTTAGGGACCATCGCAAAAGTTCGCAGAAGCCCCTGAAACGAAGAGCATACGTTTGGGGGGGGGGGGAGGGAGTCGGTGTCGAAAATCGCAAACCGGGCTTCAATTCAAAAAAGTATTGACGACATGTAGGAGCTGATATAGATTAGCATGCTCAAAGGATACAACTGCATAGCTCTAGCTGTTCTCGTTCTTAGATCACCCACTGCAAGGTGATATCATCGTTGCATTTATAAAGTGCTGTACATTGTTACACACTGATACAACAATGCTTGTGTAGTATATTATAATAATTATTATGTGTGAGCATCCAAGTGAAATAATGAAGCCCATATTGTGACTGTTGTTTCGTTTGAGGGGGGAGGGAGGGGGTCAGGCCCGAAACTAACGGTCTTCGTTTCGGGGGCTTCTGCGAACTTTTGCGATGGTCCCTTAGAAGAGTTCCTGGAGCAGTACCGCTTAGCCACGCCAGGATCCCAGGAGACGAGGGCCATCACCTCCTGACGCCACAAATGATCGTCTTGAAAATAGCTAATTTACAAGCGCTGGTAAAACAGCCTGCTGATAGCTTGGAGTTGTTGCTACCACTAGACCCTTCGATTGTTGAATTGGCACAAGAAACGATGGAGTTATGAAGGTTTTAGCAATCGTTCATATACATGATCGTTTGCGGGATATTCGATTGAAATCCGTACTGCGGACAAAACTTCGCCATAAAATAAGGACAAACCGTGACGGGCGGTTGGCAACACTGAGATTGGCACCCCGGTAGCTAAAGCAAAAAACTGAAAACAATGATGCTGTAAGACTACAAATTTTCGGCCCATTCAAATTTCGCCCTCCCAGGGCTAAAACCCATTTCGGCTGCATCAAATTTTCGGCCTGTACTGCTGCCGCCTGTATACACTGTCACACTGAACTTGGAAAACGAAATTTCGGCTGCAACAAATTTTCAGCCAACATGACCAGGCCAAAAATAGCCGAAAATAAACAAGCGCCGATATTTGTTGACTTCAGTAATGCGTAGAGAGGAGACAACTATAGTTATAAGATATGATTAGAAGTTTTATTAGAACACTAAGAAAGAGCTCACACTAGCATTTTGTCTTTGAGGAAACAGTTTTAAAATGAATTATTAGGCCATTGTAAAACATGTTCAATTATCATATGCTGTTGTTTAGCGCTATCGAGCAGTGCTCAAGCTGACGTGCCTGCTGTGGAATGTCTCAGTACACCGTGTCAGTTTTTAGTTGTGGGACTCGATCGCATAACTTGTGCCCACATGTTTTCCATGTTACAATTATCAAACGGGTAACTATTTTCCCCTGCTCCCCCCCCCCCACCCTTCCTCCACCTCCATTAATCTTTTTCCTGACTAGGACCCTGAGTGGGTATGTACTGTTGAAGTGATCTACCGGATCACTGTTTCTCTGCACTTTCAAACCGTGACTGGGCTTTCTGTGATGACAGCATCTGTATGTAAGTTAGCCGCTGGCCGAAAGGGACTGACGTCATGATAAAAATTCGATTACGGGCGATGGTTCACAAAAACATGTGTATTTCTTTCCTTTGTCCAAATGCCACCCTGAAGAGCTCAGATGCTTGCAGACCTTCGTTTGCTAGTCTTGTCGAAAGGAACAAGCAAACTCCCCGATGTCCGAATGTCATCCGACGTCGACCTAACGGAAGTCAAACCATCCGATGTCAAACATCCGATGTCGACCAACCTGACGACACTCCACCTGACGTCACGATTGACCCTCTGCTGGATTTCCGGTATGTGTCGGAGGTGAGTTTGAGATAGGCGTAGCAATCCTGATCTTGTGTGCGGCCACCATGCTCTAGAGAGCATCATCATCCTCCACCCAGCAGTTCCTAGCACACACCCCCCCCCCCCCAACACCACCACCACACACACAAACACACACACACACACACACACACACACACACAGACACACACACAGACACACACACATACACACACACACACACACACACACACACACACACATACACACACACACACACACACACACACACACAGAAGGCAGAAGGCTTGCAGAACACACAGAAGGCTTGCCTGTAAATCTGATGAAGTAAAATAAAACAACAACAACAGCACACACACGCGCGCGCACACACCCGCAGGTATAATGCTTTCATTCGAGTTAGCATTTCTCTTTTCCGTAATTATGTCTAAAATTGAGCTTTTGTTCTTTCTTATATTAAGCACAGTAAAGCGAATTATGGCCCAATCCTCTGGTGCAAGGGTATTTGACAGGAAAAATATCAAATCATTGTTGTGATTATTTTATTTTTCGATTCAAACTGGCGAGCATGCCCAATTTGAAGAATGCGAATAATAGAGAGAGAGAGAGAGAGAGAGAGAGAGAGAGAGAGAGAGAGAGAGAGAGAGAGAGAGAGAGAGAGAGAGAGAGAGAGAGAGAGAGAGAGAGAGAGAGAGAGAGAGAGAGAGGGAGGGAGGGAGGGGAGGAAGGGAGGGAGGGAGGGAGGGAGGGAGGGAGGGAGGGAGGGGAGGGAAGGGAGGGAGGGAGGGAGGGAGGGAGGGAGGGAGGGAGGGAGGGAGGGAGGGAGGGAGGGAGGGAGGGAGGGAGGGAGGGAGGGAGATGATTATATAAGGAAGAATAGAAGAAGAGCAATAGGGCTACAGCAGGGAGAGAGCACGTTCTAGAAATCAAAATGAATACTAGTGGTCAAGCGTATGGGGTGTTGCTGCCAGTTCATACGGGGTTGGGCATTGGGCACCACGAGCGTTCCAATCAGTTGGGGCAGCGAAGCCAAACCGAGTTGTGCCAGAACGAGTCCTAGCTTGCGGGCAGTTGAAGACCATATTCAGTCTGAGGCGAGTTCTGCTCCCAGTTGGGCGGGAGACTAGTGCACTAAGTGGTGGGCCTGCCTTTTCATGCGTACACCTCCATACACTAAACGTCAGATCTTTCTGGTGGTGCATCTCGCTAATCCGAAACATGCCTTTGTGCACTAGAAGAGGGTGAGCGGAAGTACCTGGTGGTTTTCCAAAACTGTGCCTTAAAAGAATTTGGCCTCTATCTTTCAGCCTGTCTGCCAATACTGTTGCAACCATGCAGAGGGCCACGGATACTGCTGTTTTTGTGCGTTTGATATCGCCATGGCCGGACCAACGGGGGCGCAAAATCTTCTTTCTCTTCTTTAGTATCGCAACAAGGAGGAATAGCTCTTCTCTTTATCCGCCTTTAGGCTTTTGTCTCATTGTCCCTTGATTGTCTGTTTTTTAATTATCAGGACTTGTTGCTGTTCTGTGCACGATACTCTTCCCCTGTTTTAGAACAACACAAACGCCATTCCGATCGGGAGGATGGGCACCATACTAATTTTGGATGGTGCCATGGTTAAGTTCCCTCCTGGTGCGGTGAACGAGGAAACAACAATCTCTCCACCGCAGCACCTGGTGTTCGAAGAACGGCTGCGAATCGCGAAGGGCGCTCATGTCACACTGCACTGTGTAAAGTCATGTGACATGTGCAATCAAGCATATTGAACCAGGGCCGGAGGAGGAGTTTGTGAGTGGTCCGGCTGACCTTTGCGTGGTCCGGGATCTCCCGGGGGGAATATCGAAAAATCGCGTGAAATACAGCGGATTTGGGCATCTCGTGAGGCTCCAGATAATGCGGAAAATCTATCAGTCAGAGAACACAACCAAAACCTTTTTGGGTATCCATGGAAGATGAGGTCGTGCTGCAGAACAATCCTCGTCGCCGAATCCTCAGCTACATGTACATGTGAGTAAGGATGAATCCGAGACCTTTGGTCGGAGGAGTTACTTTTGCCCCGCCCCGCTTCCTTCCAATATCCCACCGCCCCGCATCTGATGGTTCTGTGGTATTCAGTAAAAAATAAATAAATCAATAATAATAAACAAAAAAACATGTACGGCAGTCAAGTAACACTGCTGTATGATTTTTTTGCCTAAAACTCAGAGTAAACAACTTTCTCGGAAATTAAGTACAGTGGTACTGCAAGAAAAATTGCAATTTTTATTCTCTTCACCACCATCATCAGGACTCATACAATTTGTTCACCAACCAGTTTTCGAGCATTCTCTCTTCAAGTGCATTCACTTGAAGGTAATGTGCTTGGAGAGAATGATTCATTGAGCCCTGATAATGGTGGCGAGAGTATGACATTTTGTATTTTGTTTTCTTGCAGAAACTCAGAGTCACAACTATCTCTCCCTCCTCTTCTTGTTGTCAAAAGTACATACACATTTCAAATGCTACAAGTGCAATTACAATCGGAACGAAGTAGGTTAGTGTAGTAGCGAGATGCATATCTTCACCAGCTGTTGTTGCTCTTTGTGCAAGGGCTTGCTGGCTGAAAAACAAAACACGCGAAAAGGTGTATGAATCCCGGTGTAGCCAGGGTTAGGCCAAGTATCTGACTTACTGGAAGCTTAACGGGTTCTACCCGATCATTTCAATCCAATGTCTGATTGTAATGTCTTGCTCTGCCTGCTTTGCATACAGCTGATGGGTCTGCAGCCTCATGGAATGCACTTTCGGGAACCTGTGGAAGTTGAGATTGACGTGCCAGGCCTGACATGGAGGAACCATTCGTACGTAAACTTTGCACTCTTCGGTCGTTTTTTTTCGATTTTACCTTGAACTTCAATATTTTTAAATACACATGCTATACTGAACTCCGAATTAGTGCTAGCGACTTGGCGGATGATTTGTTAGGAAAGGGTTTGCTCCCACATTGGAGCTAGCGCTTTTCCGCTGACTTGACTTGGCACTTGACTGACTCCAGACTGCCATCCTGAGCGCACGAGAACTCCATCGAACCTTCGACTTGGCAAACCTGCAAGAAATCTTCCTTAGCCTACTCAAGCTCAAATGATGAGGGTTGAGTTCCCGAAACACCAGAGAGGTTCTGCAAAACGAAAATTACAACGAAGTTTCGTGACGAGCCTTGTGAAAATGTGTACGAATTTTCGCGGAACTTTGTGTTCTGCACATTTCGTAGTTTGCATGCGGCAAGTGCACGTACGCCATGATCCGATCTCACGAAACTTCCTACGAAAGTTCATTTCGTGTTCCCTGCAAATTTCGCGTCCAAAGTTGCGAAAGTTCGTGCGAAGTTTCTCACTTCATGACGTAGAGCGAAGTGTGTACGCATTTTCGTTTTGCAGAACCTCTCTGCTGTATATTGAACAGGAGTGGGCTTTCTTGTAGGTTGCCGAGTCGAAGGGTCGATGGAGTTCTCCTGTGCTCTGGATGGCAGTCGTGAGTCAGTCAAGTTTCAAGTCAAGTCGGCGGAAAAGCGAGAGCTCCGGTGTGGGGAGCAAACACTTTCCTAGCATACTCAGTACTATATTCGCCAACAAAATCCGGCGAATGCTGCACCTGGCAGTTGACTACCATGTGCAGCATTGTTTATTGATTTTGTCGGCGACTATAGTATAACGTAAAGTGCGGATAAAAGCCGGCTTATAAGCATAATAAGCTGCTTTCTGCATCAGGCTCGTATGCAAACCATGCTTATTTGCACCACTGATATTTTTGCCAGGCTTGAATGCACATGCTTCTACGCGCGACACGCGTAGATCTACCACTGACTACCGGTATGGCGGCAGTTTTACTATGCACCGTACATAGCGCATGCACTCTTGACCTACCCGATCCGCGCTTGCATAGAAGCCAGGCTTCAACGCGCGACAGGCTTATATGCAGTTGACCCGTTTGATTTTCAGGCTTCTATCCGTGATGCAAACCCGGTTTTTATCCGCGACTTTACGGCATGTAGGCGCTGAGAATAGGTCCACACCAAGAAGAAAGTGATCCAGAGGCATCGAAAACCGATAGCCATCAAAAATTCGTGTACCCAATACCCGCTCTAACCGTCTTTTTACATGTTTTTTTGGATTTGCCATTAAATACTTCCTCCCCGTCATTAAAAATTGTCGCTTCCCAGAGCAATTTTTCAAATTTATTTTGTCCACTCGAAGGGCAAAGA